AACGCCATTTTCTCTTCTCCATGTTATGACTGGTTTAGGCTCTCCTGTAGCTTTACAATTGAGACGAACAGTTTTTCCAGGAAGGGTGACGAGTGATGTAGGAGGTTTGATGCTGAATCTTGGCAGCTCAACAACAATAAGAAATGTTCCTTTTGTAACTGAGCCAAGAAGATTTTCAGCTTTACACAAATATGTCCCAGAATCTTCTTTGTTTGCTCTAAAGAGCGTCATCTGTCCATCTGTAATGACGCTTCGGCTGATATTCAATGAACCAGTAGACTTTGACCACGTGATCTTTGGTTTAGGATGTCCTGTCACGTGACATTTTGGCATGACAATGTCCGTACCTATCTTTTCATATACTGGTCCACTGATCAAGGTCACTCGAGGTCGTGAGTTCACTTCAATTGTCGATTTGCTGTGTTTGCTACCAAGAATGTTAAAAGCTTTGCATACATATGTTCCTGTATCAGATGAAGCGACTTGTCTCAGTTCAAGTTTCCCGTTTCTGTCAACAAAAGATCTTCCTTTCGGCAACGAACCGTTTCCTTTACTCCAAACTACAGCAGGTCGTGGGTAACCGATAGCAGAACAATGCAAAATGGCCGTTTGACTTTCATTGATAACCAAATACGAGGGCGAAATAATTACTGATGGTGGTGCTAGGGAAGGACCAGGATCCCCCTTCGCTCCCGGTATGCCTTGTGGACCGGCAGCTCCATTTTCTCCCGGATCACCTTTCAAACCATGTGGTCCTCGTTTTCCTCTTCTTCCAAGCTTTCCTCTTGGTCCACGTGATCCTTTTGTCCCTACATCACCTTTCTGTCCTTTCTCTCCTTGTGGGCCTGGAGGGCCTGGAATAGGAATCCAGTATCTCGCAGATTGTAGCTTAGACACTGCTTTACCAACCTCTTGATGAATGGTTTTTGTGATTTGATCTTTAAGCGACTGTTTTGTGGTGTTCAATATTGGTAAATTATCAGCTCGAATGTTTCGTTTSGATATTTTGTGAGTCAGTTCCGGGTCAGTTTCTCGTTCATCCTCCGGTTTGTTTGCTGAGAAAYTGTCAACATGTTTCGAGTTCCTCTTTAAGAAAATAACCTCTCTTTCTAATTTCTTTATACTTGAGGTTTGAGCATATAGCATTAGCTTCATATTCACAAATTCTTGATTATATTTTGAAGAATGGATATCATCAATACTTGCGGTATTCCAGTCACGTTGTGTTGAGGTTATAAACTTCTCAAATTCATCAAGCCGATTCGTTTGCTTTTTTAAAACGATCTCAATGCGCACAAATTCTCCAAAACACAAAAGCAGCATCGCTAGTGAAGCCACGATGGTGATCGCTGATGAAGAGCGCGTAGGAGCGACTTTTTCCATCATTTTTGAAGACCAAAAGAAAACGAACGTCCTTATTATGCTTTCACGACTTTAGGTATCAAATGCGTAACGGATAGGAATAGACAAGAATTGTAACTCTATATTTTAGGGTCACTGGTTTGACTATGGTATGATCACAAGCTAGCACTAATAGCTAGGAAGTAGGAATATTTAGCAAATACGCCACGGCTTTTATGAATGTTTTTTATGTTGAAACATGACATT